GGAACAAACTACCTGAGGAAATGCGACTAGCAAGCACATTGGCCTCCTTTGAAAAGGCACTTAATGACAAAGTAGCTAAGTGAGTTTGTAATTGATACCAGTGCTAATTCCCATGTAAGAGTTTCAGAAATCATAGGCCCATTTATTGTATGAACTCAGAGACTACACCTGTTGTTTGTTTTGCCTCTATTTATAATTCCAGACAAAAAAGAAGCAGTCATGACAATAACACCCATTCAATCAAGAGTCGATCAAACTATGTCTACCTGATACAAAGGGCGAATCATAACCAACATACGATTGAAATATGAGAAAACAAGGGAGAAACTTACTGCAACACCACATGAAAAGATAAAAGTTACTTGAACATCATCTATAAACCACCAACTGTTCTCCTTTCCAAAAAGAATGCGGCGATGTTTTATCGAAAATGGCGAGGAAATACATAAATCCACAGCTGCTGCTGTAAACACTCAGTGGGGGTGTGGTGAGAGCGGGCCGTGAGAAAATATGAGCAAGGCTGATTCGACAACCAATCACAGCAAAGTTAACGTGGCAAAATATGATTCGCAGATAGAGAACTCTATTTGTCGAGGAATCCCGAAACAACCAATCAGAAGCCTGCGTTTGCCTGCCTAACTTCTGATAAACAACCAATCAGATGACTGCGCTTGTCTACTTGCATAAGCTATAATAATGTATGTGAAATATATATAAATACGTGTTGATTTTCATAATAAAACGATCTGTTGCCTGGCCCTTGTCTTCTGTTGTTACAGGGGTAGGAGCCAACAAAGCAATCCATTCAAAGCATATGTACACTTCACATGGACACGGAGACTCTCTTCGGAATACGTCATAATCCAAATCGCTGCCCATACAGCGCCAATAAACCTGGATATCTATGATATAACGAAAACATGCTGAAAGCTGCATCTCAGATCAAGTTGATTAATTCGATAGTAATGATCTGCTCCTGCACGCCTAATTCGACATATTGAATGGAATGGTCCGCGGTTATTCTAGTGCCAGATCGAAAAGAATAAAAAATTCACCGGTTGATTGATCAAAAGTACTTCTCTGCATGTTTAACTGTATTCTAACTGCTGTGATTAATTCCAAACCATTTATCTAATAATCACTCAAATTCCAGGAACGATCCAATTCTACCATTCAAAGACGCTGGCGAACATGCTGTAAATGAGTATTCATGATCTGAAATGAAGAAGCAACTGGTTTTCAAACAGTTTTGAACATTTTACTCAACTAACGATTACAGTCCGCCACGCAGACACAAATGGAGCAAATGGAGAATTCTGGAAACGGCCTCGGGACCATCTGATGCAGTAAAACAACTGAACATAACCTTATCTAGTTTTCGTATCCACGATCAAATTTCTTTCCTGTTATGAAACTACGATAAGACTACTGAAAAAATGGAATAAATATATCACTGATCTCAACATAATACATCAATAAACTTCAAGCCGTGGGTGCTGTTCACAACAAAGTTATATAGGAGAATTGACTTCAAGCTTTATTTTTCCCAGATATCTGTATTACATTCATCTGATGTCTGGGTTTTTTGTTAATGCGAAGACAATATTTCTATATCTCTTTATGTATAGCACAAACAGACTCTACAGGAGACTGTTCCAACTGACTTTGATGTCAGAAAGAACAACCAAACTGTAAATCCATTATACACCAAATTATGTGTAATTTATATAATAACTTATACATGCCTGTACAATAGGCATGTTCTTATTAAAACAATATTTATGCATGCCTATACAATTGGTGTATCCTACATAGCTAGGGAAAAATGTACCTCATTATATTATCTTTACTAAATATGCTTATTAATCTTATGTGTAACTTATTGAATTGACGATACCTGTAATCTGGCGTCCCTCATGTAAAAAATGGGAATATATATTACTATTATCACTTGCAAACATGATGCCTGAATATGCTTAGCAGTAATGGTATATGTGACAGGATGAAGGTGGAGAGTGTCATGTGATATTTCACTTCCAAACTACTTAAACTATGACTGCGAAAAAGACTAAGCTTTAAGATGCATGCCAATAGACCTTGACTATTCTGGATGAGACAACTTACTATAGATTAAATACCATTTGTTGAAGTCATGAAAAATACAATTCTCGGAGAGTAAAAATATGCCTTTCTCACTGGGAGGCCATTAAGGTCCATATAACTAAATATATACAATAAAAATTAAAGCCCTTCATACATCATTCGGATGAAATACCTTCATTATCAAGCGTCCTAAGTTATCAAACAGTTAATCTGTTTCGAATTCACTTTTGGTTTTCTTGTTAGTTGATTGGACCGAAATGTTCGACCTCTGTTGGCCTGACAACTGTATCGGAGGCTTTGAAAATATCGGAGCATTAGCTTGAAGCGCTTTGGTGGATGACTACTGTGAGTGTAGACCAGGATGCTCATTTAGTCCTATTTGGGTCAGTCGTCACTGGGTTCGAGTCTCATTGGGAACACCACTCACTAGGGGATACAAGTATATCCAGCCATTGGGTCCCAACCAGTATGAAATAAGCATCTTGGATTGCACTCTGAAGTTCTAATGACAGATAGACCTTAGCAAATAGTTTCAACAGGACTGAAACCTGGTTTCAAGGCTTCCTGATTACTATCACCAGCTCCTGCTCTTATTTTTCTTTATATTTCAGATCCTGAGCACGCAACAGATTCTCCAAATTCCTTAAGCTTTTCTGAGAGTACATGTTCCCTTCACTGAATTGAATGGTAATTTGTTCAAAATGGCCTTCATTTATATTTATTCAGTATCCCTACAAACTCTGCTTCCTGGCTTCCTTCGTCAGACCATCATCCCAAGGAAGTTTTTTACGGGGCTGGGGAGCCAGTATTTCAGGACAGCACACGTTGACCATTGCGACAGAAGCTCTCGGAGGAGCAGTTTTGGAAGTCATTGTTGGCAGCATGAATGACGGTCACTGACTATTTATTTGCTGATATTATCGAGATATGGAAAGCCGTCAATAGTAACGATGAAGGGTTGCTACTACAAAACGATCTAGATAAATTAGCTGAATGGGCTAACCTTTGAAGTCTTGAAATTAACTCAAAGAAAAGAGCGAAAATTCACCGAGGTCAGCAGTCTTACACATCGTACTCCCTGCGGTACACAGAACTGCCAGATGTTAAAGAACAAAAAGGGGCAAAGTTAAACTTTAGACACCACTAACAACCAATCAGCAAACGACCTCAAACGGACCAATCACATTAAAGAGGCATATATGATAAATGGAAATGTACATTTATAGAAAAAAAAGCATAAAATAGATAATAAAAAAGGTGACATGGGATATCTTTCTCGAACATGTGAGAGAAAATTCTCAGTTTAGCATGGGACTGTCAATGGAGAAATTGCACCATATCCTGTACATACATTCGTCCAAATGGCTATAAATGAGATCCTTTTGAGATACATTTATAGCCATTATCCTATTTTCCAACCTGTCCCGAAATCCTTCATTAGAATTTGTGTGTCCTCGTAACGGGATCCACAAAATCACTTGAATGGTTGTCTCTATGATGAATATATCCCGGAGATGACAGCGAATTGAAGCCTTTCCACTCGTCCGTGTGTATAATTGACCCCCGCCTAACAATTCTGGTAACAATAAGTATAAGAGTAGTTGCTTTTCTATCTGCTATCCTTAGGGAGAGAAGCGACCTAGCGAAAAAAGTTCCTACGAAATAATAAAAATATCAGCATACCCTCTCTAGTGTTAGTAGGCTTCAAACATATAGCACAACGATGAACAAACCCATCAGTTGATTTGGTATAGCTTTTCAAAGTCATGATACCACCACACAATCAAATTCGTTCTTTCCGGAGCAACTCAAATCTGGGAAATACTGGAAAACACTAACCTCCTCGAATTGCAACAATAGCCTTGTAAGGTCACGCATTAGAAATGAATCAAGCGCTATACAACATTGAACTGCGTTCGTGAACCTCATTGGATAATTCGACATCGTTCGTGAATCTCACTGGATAATTCGCTGATTGGTAGTTAGTGGTGTCGAAAGTTTAACTTCGCCCAAAAGGGCTTGGAAATTATTGTAGACTGTGACTTAAAAACAACGACAAATTGTAGTCGAGAGGCAACTAAGATTTTTCGAGTGCTATGGGCAATTCGATGGGCTTTCAAACGATTAGACGATGGAAGGTTACAAGTACTCTGTGCAGCATGTCAAACATCACCTGGAATACTGGAAAGAAGCGGTGAGTGTAGGTTTCAAATAGGAGGCACACCTTCCTTAATATGAGGATGAAGCATTTAAATCTCTTCTTATTATCATAACGAAAGGGATGCGACTTCATTTTAGCTTACCGTATATTCAGTGGCAATTTAGGGTTTGATCTTTCAAACCTTTTCTCTCCTTCTAGGTTACATTCACGAGGTGACCACAAGAAGGTGCTCAAACCGAGGTCGAACAAAATACGTGTGGAATCTAGATTCTCTCACATAGTGGTCAACGACTGGAACTCCTTACCTAACTCATTAGTAACAGCTCCATCGATGAACGCCTTCAGTGACATATATCGCAAGGATTAACATAAGCAACAAGAGCCTTCTATCCTTATAATCTGAATCTGAGAGTCCTACTTTCCTGAAATTTTTGGAACTGCTTTCCATTATGCCTGAATTCAGCATGATACATTCAAGGAGAAACGAGGCGACTAAAGGTGTCTAGCTATACCTATTACCATTAGTTTCTGTTTTCGTTTATTCTCACTGAATAATTGAATCTTAAATCTGATTTTGTTTGTATCATTCAAGGTAAGAATGTGCAACTATGACTTACTCGGAACTGGCGGTACTGTCGGTTTTTTATTGTGATTGCAAGGTTATATACTGATTTTGGAGTACAAATGAGTTAAGAGAGTTCATATGTGGTGGAAACACTATCGATATTAACATGTTATGATGAGACCTCCTGATGGCGGGTGCTCACCTCATTTACCGCGTATCAGTGAAGTTAATCCTAACCAATCTGTTAATTCCTGTGGTCATGTAAAGCCCACCACGGTGAAATGTATTCTAATAGGTGACAAACAGGTTGGCAAAACCAGCCTTGTCGTCAGTTACACTTCTAATGATTATCCGGCTGAATATAGACCATCTGCTTTGGATACCTATTGTGGTAAGTCAAACGCATTGTTGTTAAACTCGTAAATACGGCATATCATGTATTAGGTATAAACTGATTATTGCTTTATGTAAATTGCACCACTTATTTTTTAGACTATATGGTTTTGCTTTTCTATTTTCGTATTAATAGCCTACGAATAAATAATTTCAAATGAATTAATAAGGAATATACCAAACTACGTTAAATGCTTGAAAATTAACTTTAATCTGTAACTTCATATAAAATAACTACGAAATATCCTGACTATTAATAATTTGACAGTACAAGTCCTCTAAATGCGGGTTATCAATCTGAAGACGTATGTTTTTCAGTCAGTGATTGTATTCTGCGGCATTCAAACATACCCTCTTCCTCTTATTTCGAACCTGTCAGCAGGATGGTCCTGCATTTTAATGAGTGGCAATGTTCTCAGTGGGACTGATTTCGAAGTAATTCGTTTTTTAGACGCATGAAAATTCCCTGATTAGTCAGCAAGTGCATGTCATACACAATCACCTAAAACGTCCAGAAGATCATTTGTTTACCTTTGACTTTTAGGATCTTGATTGATTCATGCCAGCATGGTTCAGATGTATAACACAATTCATGGGCGCGTCAGAGGAAAATAGGTGATAACCTCGACTCACAATCCTTACTTGAGGCTTCGCTTATCCTCACTATTGTTTGCAGTATTGCTCTGTCTAATTTAAATGCTCCTTTGATGAAAAACCAGTAGCTGTTTTCTTACATCCTGCTTCAGCTTTCTTGTCTCAGTTATAAATTAAGGAATCAAAATTTTGAGTTATGAGAATGTCGGTCGACGCTTGTTGTTCGGCTTGTTTCAATGTATATATATATGATTTTAATATACTGGTCACATGCCAACTGTACATATTCTCCAGGATGTTTCCCATCAAATAGAGGGCCCTGTTTCATCTCTTGCATTACTAAATTGCTCACAATGTGAACTGACTATTTTAGATATGTATAATGGGAGATAAGGGAGAAATTATACCATGTTTTGTCTGCCTACTGGCTTATAAACAGATAGAAATGCTCGGCGACTTTAGCATCGTTTTCGGCTGACAACCAAACACAAACTTTTGCATAGCAATGCATTAATTCTGAAGCTGTGGCTCATTGGTCTCGGCGGGTAGCTTCCAGTCACTGCGTCAGGAGTTCACACCCTGTTCTACTTATCGAGATTTGAGCAGCCAGGTAGTATTACTAGCTTCGTTGTCGATGATATGGAATGTCAAATGAGTATTGAACAACACTTCATTCTGTCCTTTTCGATGAAGTAGTCCAAGGTGTCATGTAGATCTGTTAGTAATGAGCAATTGAACAGTTAATATATCTGCAATAGGCAAAATTGAATGCAAAAAGAGAGTAAAAATCTGGGGGAGGGGGAATTACCTATTCGTAAAAAGTTCGTAACGCTGGGTGTGAATGAAAAATTTGTTCTCCCAGCTCTGATAACAGTTAGCAGACTATTTCTCACCTGGCTAAATGGCTTTGTCATTATCCCTCTATGAAGCAAGTGTCTTACTTTCATAATTGTCCTTATTTTGAAAACATGGTATACTGGCTGTTAGCATGAAATAGCGAATTACTTTCCAATAACTTTCTTCTAATAATAAAGGAAAAATATCGAGTGAATCAGCCTTGCATTTTAATTAAAAAGACCGAAGAATGCCAACTAAAACATTGAATTAGCCAGAAATATTAGCTATCCGGAAGAAAGGATGATTGTATCATTGTCAGCGTAAGATTTAATTTTAATTAATCTGAAGAGGTTAGCATTATTAACCTTTGAACTAGTTTTTAGTCACACTCAAAACAGTTATATTTGGAGCTGATTTTGTCAATGTGGTATTAACGGACTTGGTTACTATCATAACACTTTCCGGCAGATTTATTTTCTCTTATTGATAGTGGTCTTTGTTCCCTATTTAACTCCAAAAGCAAACAAATGGTGTTTAAAAACTCATATTTTTCTAACACCGAAAGTGATTTGTTTTAAAGTTGTACTTCCATAACCGCCCCATCATTGACTGGTAGAAAAGCTTAGATGATAGGTTTTATGACATATTAGAGTGGTGATATTCAACCGTTTAATTTGTACCAGCTAATATCACGTGTTTACATCTAGGTAGCTGAGTGTATTGCTAAGCAGTGCTTCATTTTCTGTACAATCTGTTAGAGGTGTGTAACCATCATCACTTTCATAGTATTCACGATATGCCAAATGGTCACTGTGTAAGTTTTGCTGAACTCTTTACGTGTCAGACATTTAGATGGCGAATGTTTACTGCATACTGGGTTATAAGCCATGTGAGGTGTTACTTGATTGCCTAGTTGAATTACCTGGCGATTTATTTCTGAGCACTCGTTGTAATTAGCGATGTTCTCACAAGTTATGTGTGGTCTAAACGTAAAGTAGGGAAAACAAGTAAGTAAGGTTACAGGTTTTTGCCGACATGGGTAACATCGAATAACGGGGCGAATTGACAAAAGAGATTTGGAATGAGTTTATAAAATGATAGTTATCAATATCTCTGACATGGTAAAGAATGAATATATAGTATCTGTATTAAGGGGCATGATGTGAACTATTTGATGTATATTTTACATGGTCAGCTTGTCAATAATCTTGTTAAATGACCTGTAATTTCGGACCACTTGACGGTTTTGCTGTTATAAAACTCCATCAGTAAGTAGAGCATCAGTGGTCAAGGGCTTCTGATTATTCTCCAACGGATTCTAATTACTGTTTTACCATAAATGTGCCTTTTTTACAGATTCAAATCTGTTTCATAGACGTGTCTATAAAATTACTTCATTAAATAGAGTTTATTCATGAAATGTACGTCATTTTTGGAAGTAATCTATCTTAATGCCCGGCAGGTATATTCTATTTCTTTCTGTCTCTTCATTAGTATTATTTTGTCTTTTCAATTTTTACATTTTCAACTTTCCTGTTCTCTAACCCCACGTGATGTAATTTCTCTACCTCATTACCACTGTTACTGACTTGACCAACGCTCAATTTCTGGTCATTTATGTTACGTCATCCAATTTATTTGCTCAATTTTAGTCCTAATTTAGGTGGCATTATTCTCTACCCCGCCTCTACTTAGTGTCTACCCGTAATTACCTCTGTTGCTATCCTGACCCAGGTTGAAACATTTTAGTCAATTATATTACGTCATCTAACTTACTATACTAACTCAGTCTTACTTTAGTTGCTGTCTGACTAACCTTGTTTCCATATTAGATCATTCTTGTGTTACCTGATTAATTATTTAAACTTGACAAACCTCATGTACACACACAAAAATAATTGTATATAAATTCGATTGTAAAGCTATGCGAATGAATTCGCCGAAAAGGGTCTCTCTGGCGAACGTCTTCTCTTTTTCATGTGTCAATATTGTCCAACACGAATTTAAAAAAATCTGAGCTTCATTTTATTGGTCAGAGTAAGCGGCATTAACGGGAGATATTTATTTTCTTAGCTTACAAATTACTTTGGTCTAACAGTTATCACTTTTATTCATTTACTTAAACTTTTTAGTTCTTTGTCTCCCTTTTATTAAGTGTACAGACATGATGTATTACAGTGTGAACCATCACTCAGTAATGCTAGGTCTTATGTTAATATTTATCTCTCCCTATTCATCTACAGCATCGAGAAAGCGGGCGAATAGTTAGACCAGTCTTGTAGAAGCTCCTAACTAAAGCATACCGAATATTCTCACTAGTAATTTGGGTGACTACGTTAGACCACTGTGTTTTATATGTCTTAACCATGGTATTGTTGATTAGTGATTTAGATATCATTTTTATTCGTTTTCTTTTCAGTCGAAGTCTGCGCTGATACACGCCCTGTTCATTTACAAATCTGCGATGCTGGTGGGAAAGTAAGTCTATGCCATTGTTTTAAGAGTAGCTTTCAACCATTTTCCCTGATCTTCGTTAAGCTTGAAATTATACATGGTATTAGAATCAAACGTTTTCTTCTCAGAATTATAAATCCTTATTGTTTGGGTAATATGTATCGTAGTTGTGTAGAAATATTTCAAAAAGTGTAAGGTGGCGACGATTTACTGAGATATTAGTTAAAATTTTCAAGACATAAAGTTTCGTTATTTTTAAGCGTTCTAAGGCTCGGTCAAATGTACATTCTGAATGATGTATTTAAAGTCAGTTCACGTGTCATTTGAGATTTATGTACTGTGTTCAAATTTGCTAAATAATATTCATACAAGGAAGTTTCTGATTAATCCATATTCATAAATACAACTTTAGGAAGCTTTACACAATTCATTCTTAGTCCATATTCTTTTTTTTCTAATAATCCTACACTGTATAAAAACAAAACATTCATGTGGTTTTAACTCAGGCTTTAGTTCATGAAATAGAATTTAATAAACATAATATTTTATGATACTACAATAGAAATACAATATTTCTACGAACGCTTATGTCAGATTACTACCACGAAAGTTTAAAACATCCAATAAATTGGGTTTAAAAACATACTTTGTTTACTTTTAAACTAATTGTAATTCACCGTCATTGAAATTAAGTTAAAGCACTTTTCCTGTAACTAGGCCTTCGCTAGTAATAATCACATAGTTAGAGGGAGCTCAGCAGTAATAACAATGGAAGGAAAGCAAAAAGATGGTGGTTGGTGAAAAGAAGCGATGTATGTTCTCATGGGTGTGTGTGGGCTGCTGCTACTTCTCGACTGTCTACACCGTAAAAGTTAATGTCTTCTCCACAGAGCACAGTGAAAAACTGCTCGAAGCCTATCAAATATGGCCTGTTTCGTCCTCACAAAAAACTTTACAGCTGATTAAGAATCACTGTAAGCTAATTCGTGATGTATCATTTTTGCGACTGACCTTTTCTGACTACTCTTAAGAGGTGAAAGGGAACATAGCCACTGATGTGCTGTTGCGAGGGAAATACCTTATTGGTGTTACACCCACATCCTCTAGCAGTAGGATGTCGTTCTCAGACCTCAGAATAGTTTAGACAAGCTGCACTGTGAATAACGCAACGAAAGTAACTTTTGAAGAATAAGATGAATTCACTTTATGACGTGTACGTCAGTTACATACAACTTAACCAGAGACACACAAATAACCCCTTTGAAATAATTTAGATATGCTTTAATTGCATTGTCTTCGAGTGTATGTTCCTACTCATCTTTAATCGGTATCGTTTGAAACCGTTGTTGCAGTGTTCGTTTCAAGAAGGAGGCGGATAGACACTTAACTGTTTTATGTCTGCCTGTCTGTTTTCGACATGGAACTTTGTACCGATGAGACAAAGGAATAGTAATAACGAAGAACAATATAGTTTCATTAGAAATTATAAGTCACAAGGAGCGGATGTATCTGCACCAGCCATTAAGAACGATTTTGAGCCATATCACCAGTTTTTTCCAGCCATTGGTTTTTACCGTCCCGAAGACCCCAACCAGGTAGTCTACACCTTCCTACGTAGCTTGAACTAACTGTCGTGTATTTGATTGTCTGACGAGGCCAGCGGCTCTTTTCCAACCTGACCTTATGTCAGCTAGCATTGCCCGTCGGGCGAAGAAGGCGATGGCTAGTCATGCATGCGTAACACATATCCTAACCATCTCAGTCGATGTAACTTTACAGCCTCGTCGATTGATTTCCCCTCTTGTCTACCTAGCACTCGACGTCTAACCCTTATATTGCTCACCCTATTATACCACTTCATACGAGAGATAGAACGCAGGCACCTATGATCAACGACAACTAGCCCACCTTTTCATGTCTTCCACTCTCAATAGCCAGATCTCACAGGCGTAAAGGAGGACGCAACGGACTGCTTCTGAGCAGCCCACACCCCCTTCGGTCGATAGCCGACTATCATATCTATACCAGAGATGGTGTAAGCTGGCATGTGCGAAACAAGCCCTCTATATCCATGCTGAGATTTCGTCAGAGATGAGCCCGTTGGGACTGGTTGATACAACTTCCCAAATAAGTGAATTGGTCAACGTGCTCTACCACTTCACTGCTTATTTCTAAACTAGCAGTCAGTGTAGTCCACTCCTGCAACATCATCTTACATTTGGTTTATGAGTTATTCTCATTCATATGGCAGTCATATCTCATTTCTAATGTACTTTTTGAATGACTTCGTATTGCATAATCAATTGTCACATTCTTTTCATGCTTTCATGTACATTATGTAGCGTACCATAATCATGTTATTTAGTAAATTTTGAAATCCGCTTTACAGTTAGAAATTTTTTAAAAATTCATTCTAATCTAAGCAAAATCATAATCTGGTAGTTGAATTACTTACAGAATAAACGTGAATTATTTTCACAAAGCCCATGACTACTGAATTATTGCCAATAGTTTCACATGTACTGTGACTGAGGCTCATATCTGACTATGACATTTGATAATTTCTACAGTATTATCCTGTAATTTGTAGATTGCATGTTTGTGTAAAATATTTTAGTCAAGTTGTCATCAAATCATATGCTTTTGAAAAGTAATATGTGACTCAACCATCGTTTGTGGTATATAGTTTAAAGATATTTGAATGCAAATATATTTCCATCCAGTGAGTGATTCGTCGTTCTGATTGCATCAATTATACAGTACGATAAAGTTGCGAAGTGGTTGAATGTTATTCACTTTGTGGTTTCTTCAGTATTTGGTACAGGAACCATCGCACTGCTATACTCTTAAATTGACTATATTTGTAATACTTGTTGTGGGCAAGTTTCTCACTATATCTTCTGTTCACTTATCTCCGTAACAAATTATCTCTTACAAGCGTGACACTAAACCATTTAATATCAAACTATTAAGCTCAATTCTGTTTCATTTAACAGGTTTTGTAGATAGAATTCCTGTTTTTAAGAGTTCATTTGTAGGGATTTGATTTATATCAAGTCAGATCACTTATTGACATTAGTTAGAGAACCACTGAAAGCCAACAGAGACTATTTGATGGTTGTTTCATCCTAGTTTGAGACTCATCGTCAGTACTCACCTACTGGGGTTAGGACCCCCGAACCCTCGCGCTTACCAGGTGAGTTCGTAAACCATTCAATCACTGGCACCCGACTCAATGGTTAGCCCATGAATTCTAACTTCTGACTGATAGAATTCAGTCTGCAGCAATGAGGGGACTAGACACATCACACTAGTTACTAGTGTCTAATCAAAATATCCACTACAGTCCTACAGGAAGTCAGTTGCGAGCTCGAATAGCTCAGTGGTAACGTCTCTGACTGCAGCACTGTGTGACGCGGGTTCGAATTTCAGAGGGGACTTGAGTTCCTTCTTAGAGGTTGCAGATACGCCTTACTGACTGGTGAGTGTCAACTAGCATGAAACGTAGGTTCAAGGCTTCCTATGGCTAACTGCCTCCAACCATCTAATATTATCAAATTCTAACTTCTACCAATTCGTGATTTTAGCTGGACTGTCACCAGCCAATGTGATCTCTGGCGTGTATTTTTCCTCACTCCCTACCGGTCATGACTTCTCATCACTGAAACTTCATTTAACTTCGTCTTGCAGGCAGTCACTAACGTGAATCAGATTAATTATCATGAGTTAGTTTGTTAAATGCATGCAGACAGCCACAAGTGATATGAATCTCTCACGATGTAAATACCTAACATTTTTTTACTATCACAACTTCTATATTTTTAATTGTTGTCTTGTTCATCTGATATATAGTTGTTTTGTATTTCAAATTGTTAACATCCGCTCTTACTTCCGTAATTTTGGCCCGGAAAACACTTCAATGATTACACTGACCTTTGTATGCATGTAACAGGAAATGAATTCTACTATTTTAGTTGGTTTATGTGTATTCATGCATCAGATAAGTGGTGAATTGAACTGTGTGAAAAAAAGCACACTTCATACACTTTTATGTACTTACTGTACAACGTGTTTCACAAGTTCACTACATGCATTCTGACAAAAAATACAAACAATGTAGTGAAGTCAACTGGAAAGCTTAAATTTATTGAAAAGATATAACTCTAACTCACTTCAGCGACTCAGGGATTGACTTGCTACCAGGGAATAATCTCGTTGACCTTAGAATATGCACGGGGATGATATAGTCCTTCTAGGTGAGGACGCTGACAAAATGCAGAGTCTTTTAAACACCTTTAGCTGCAATCTATGAATGTTTGGCATGCGATTTGCTCCCGCCAAATGTAAGATGATTGGGTTACAGGACTGGACTACACTGACTCCTAGTTTAGAAATAAGGAGTGAAGTGGTTGATGGAGCGTGATGACCACTTCGCTTATTTGGGAAGTTGCATCGGCCAACGCCAACGGATTGATCTCTGACGCAATATCAGCACGGGTACAGAGGGCTAGTTTCGAATATGCCAGTTTACATCATCTCTGGCGTAGACGTGATATCCGACTGACTGTCGACTAAAGGGTGGGTGTATTGCTCATCAGTCCACTCCGTCCTCCTTTACGACCAGCTGTGAGACCTGGCTATTGAGAGTGGACGACATGAAAAGGCCGACTAGCTGTCTTTGATCATAGGTGCCTGAGTTCTGTCTCCCATGTGAAGTGCTATAATAGGGTGAGCTATATTGAGGCTAGGCATCGGTCGAGTGCTAGGTAACGAGGGAAGGGGAAATCAATAGACGAGGCTGTGAAGCTACATCGACTGAGATGGTTAGGACATGTGTTACGCATGCATTTTTAGCCATTGCCTTCCTCGATGGGCAATGTTAGCTGACATTGGATGGGTCAGGTTGGAAAAGAGCTGACAGCGGTCGAACCAAAACATAGCGACAGTCAATGAAAAATCCATAACAGCTAGTTTAAGCCACGTAGGAAGGTGTAGACTTCTTGGCTGGTTGGGGTCCTCGGGACGGTAAAAAAACTATTGCTGGAAACAATTGGTGATATGGCTCAAAGTCGTTCTTAATGGCTGATGCAGATGTATCCACTCCTTGTGACTTACGATTTCCAATGAAACTATATTGTTCTTCGTTATTACTATTCCTTTTGTCTCACACCTCTGTCTCTATTATGCATTTCTTCTACTTTCTTCTTGCTTTGTGTGCTACATGGAATGTCGCGACTTGAACTACCGCACATCAGTGCAAAGTTCTGTGTCGAAAACAGACAGACAGTAAAAAGACAATTTTCCTAGTGAATTCACTGATGATTAAAACTTTATTAATTAGAATAAATTTTGTGATAAATGTTAAACACTAACACTCTAATTTATCTTTCTTTTTAATCTATTCTAGGAAGAGGTTGCGTCTTTACGACATCTGTCATATTTGGATGCACATGTTATTCTACTATGCTTTTCTGTTGTTCGGCCGGAGTCTTTCAGATCCTTGAAAACTGTTTGGTTAAAAGAACTGGCTTCTGCACCGATCATTCTTAACAGCGCCGCTGAACAAACTGCATCAAAATTATTCGGTATACCTACTACTACTAATAATAATACTACTTCGTCATCGTCAAATACCAAGCGAAGTCTCGACCACTGTCTACCGGCGTTACTCGTCAAGTCGAAATCCTCTATATGCCCTAATCGTGGATTGAAAAACGCGCCTGAAACTAGTACTAATTTAATACCAGGTCCTACATTTCTTCTCATAGGTTGTGCTTGTGATCTACGCAATGATATTGGACGTTTATTAGAGCTGTCAAAGATAGGCGAAGAACCAGTGGATAAGGAGAAAGCTGAATGTTTAGCTGTTGAATTAGGCGCTGAAGCTTATGTGGAGTGTTCTGCACTAACTCAAAAAAATCTTAAAACTGTTTTCGACTTGGCTATTTGGTGTGGCTTAAAAGTAGCTGATTCTGGTGGTCCAATACTCGCGTCTGAACTAAAGTCAAAGGAAGCGCTACCGTATAATGGCAATTGTACAAAAACTTCTCTTCATAATCGTGCTCTCAGTGATAATAATAATCATGTAGGTGTTGTTAATCATCGCCTGTCGAATGTTATCACTAGAACAGAGAATACCAACAAGTGTAAAACATTAAATAAAAAGGGTTGGCGCCGATTTCTGTGTATTAACTCGTAAAAATACTCAAATTAGCATTTTTCTCCTTGGTGTTGTTTTTGTTGTTAGGAGGAGTTTCGTTTTGGATGTGTTTCAGCTGTGTTCCACACTGTTTCGTAGAAATGAAAATCAAGTGTCTGATTTCCTAAATCTAAGCTTTCTTTCTTTGTAGAAAATGAATTCTAGTCATTTACGTATTTTTTATGTATATTTAAGGCTACTTTGTAATTCAAGTGCTGCTTGTAGAAATAATTATGGCCGTCTGGTTTGGTTTGGTTCGGTGTGGTTGTGTGTTCATTTAGTGAATAATCTTTGATTTTGTATGATTGGAAGGGTGATATTTCCCTTTTTAATATACGTACTACTCTAGTCCTTTTACCATTTATCTCCTATACAGTTGAATTGGCCGGTGATTATACTCTATTAAATTTTGTTGACTGACTTGCTACTTACTATATTGTTTACTCTCCCCCCTACCCCCACACACACATACACCCCCCTCGCACGCGCACGCGCCCACGCACACCCCCTCCCCCTGAAAACTCTGTGTGTATGTATTCAAACATTTAATTTTTTTTGCTCGTTTTATTTTCCTCTCTCATCACTTTTGTAAATTGAATTTTCCTTTCTTCTATTTCAATTTTTTTTCAATTGATGATGATATCCCCTTAAATCATGAGAATTATGTAAACTGAACTTAAATTTTTGTGATCACTTATTATAATATTTGGATTATATTCACCATTGTTGTTTTGTTACTTTTGTTTACCTTGTATCTCTTATATATATGATGGACTATTCCTTTGTTAGCCTACACTTTATGACTTATTATCAACAAATCAAGATATATTTAATGTATTAGTGTTATTTTTTTGATTGGACACTAGTTTAGTAATTAGTGTGATGTGTGTGTCAAATCCTTTGCTGGATAGATGCAGTCTGAATTCTATCAGTGATATGCGTTCAAATCTCATAAGGGATATAAATTCCTTTAAGAAGGATGCTGGCTGCTCGGCATTATGCTCGTGTCTATCCCAAGCAAAATGCTAAGCCTCATTATCCTGGAGAGAATCAAACAAGCCAATCGGGATGAAAGCCGTCGACCGGAACAAGCTGGATTTGGAAGAAACAAGTCATGTATTGATCAAATCACCACTCTACGGATCATCATTGAACAAAGCTTGGAATCGCAGTCACCTCTCTACCTCTACCTCAACTTCTTCGACTTTGAAAAGGCCTTCGATAGTGCAGCGTCGATCGAGAGGTGATTTGGCAACTACTTCGCTATTACGGGGTGCCACCGACAATTATACATTTCATCCATAAGTTGTACGACAATGCTGCATGACAAGTAATCCACAACGGAAAACTTACGGAATCCTTCGAAGTGAGGACGGGACTAAGACAAGCTGACTGCCCACTATCGCCAATGATCTTCCTGATTGGAGTAGATTGGATAATGTGACAGACAACGGGCAATGAAGAAACAGGTATAAAATGAACCCACACAAAAAACGAACTTGGAGGATCTGGACTTCGCCGATGATATATGTCTGATTTCCCACAAACTGGAAAATATGCAAGTGAAAAGCAACAAGTTGGCAATAGAAGAAGCATCAAAGATAGCACTTCAGGTGAACATAGAGAAAACAGAGGTGATGAAGATTCCTGGCCAACACCGACAGCAGCAACAACAACAGACAACAATCAGCCTGCATAAATGGGAGGAACCTGAAAGAAACAACCTCCTTTACCTACCTGGGAAGTATCGTTTCAACTACAGGCGGAACTGACGAGGATATCAAAGCCAGAATCGGAAAAGCAGGACAAGCTTTCATTACTCTTAAGTCTGTGTGGAGGTCAACAGCACTCCTAATGTGAAGTCAATGCTACTATACACACCAGAGACTTTGAGCCGCATCATAAAGGGCGTTTCGAACAAACTGCAGACCTTAATTAACAGTTGTCTTCGCTCAATACTCAAGATTAGATGGGCAGAAAAGATCAGAAACAGGGAGGCATCTCTGGGAGCGAACCAGCCAGCTGGAACCGATTGTAAAACAAATAGGCAGGAAGAAATGGAGATGGATTGGCCATACTCTGAGGAAACAAACCATCAAATAACATCACTAGACAGGCCATCGCTCGAGTGGTACCCGAAAGGGAAGCGGCGAGTTGGTCTTCAGTGCAAGGGTGACTTGGAAGAGGAGATGAAAGCACGTGGGCAGACGTGGAGCCAGGTGGAAACTGTAGCAGAGAATCGAACGCAATGGAGACGTGTGGCTGAAGCCCTATGTTCCTCTAGGAATTAAAGGAAGTAATAATAATATAAGGATGCTGCAGATGCACCTTGTTGACTGGTGAGTGCTAACACGCAGGAAACCTAGGTCGGACACTGCCTACCGATTGCTTACAACCGTCTAATGACCACAATTCAGAGGACCACCATCTACCCTGGTGGTCACATTGGCAACTTGATTGATAGAATTCAGTCTGTGTCAAACAAAAAAGGACTAAACACATTATAACACTAGTTACTAACTCGTGTGTGTCTAATCAAAGTATCTAATACAGTCCTCCAGGAGTTGGTCAGTCGCGATCCCGAATAGTTCAGTGGTAACGCCTCTGAGTGCACCATTGGATGGCGTGGGTTCGAATCTCGGAAGGGTCATAAGTCCCTTCAAGGAGGTTGCAGATATGCCATACTGACTGGTGGGTGTCAATTAGTATCAAACCTAGACCAGTGATTTATCTTTTTAGATATTTAGAAGCATCTGCAATGAATCTTATAAGTGTTTAAGACATGCTATGGTTGAATATGAGGAGACTGAATGTTGGATAACATCTGGCGTCAGGCCATCTCTCGAGTGAAAGATGAGTGGGAAACGACGAGTTGACCGTGGGTCCATGGATGATATGTAGGAGAAGATCATTTGAAGAGGAGAAAAGTGCCTATTGGCAATCGTAGAGTCAGCTAAAAGAGGGATTCCGGGAAATGGAATGCACTGAGTATGTGCTGTTAAAGCCATAGGTTCTAGCTAGAACCAAAGGAATAATAATGACAAGAGTTGAATATGTTCTTTGCGCATATATATAGTCGTTGTTACTAGCTATACTTTTTATATTGATGTCATCTAGTGTTAACATCAAAACCCATATGAATCAAGGTGAAGCCATTCTGGGATCTAGACACTTCATCAATAAGGTTACCAGCCAGCGATCAAGGTCTTCATGAGGTCTACAATACGCTAGATAGTCGCTCAGTAAGAAGTTCACTGTTGGACACAAATATTATTCCTATATATATATATATATATATATATATATGAATATGAATATATGTATTATATAAAACATTTTGTGCAGTTAAAAAGCATATAATGTGACCGGCTATTGTTGTTATTGTACAGATTTGCTGTTAGAATAAGCAGTTGGAGAGTATACATTTTCATTGTATAACTTTTGTTCACGCAGGATACGTTGATGTTGTCTTTGAGCTCGGTTAAGAGTTTCATAAGCTAAGCGTGAACTTAATTCTATAGATTTTTCTGAAAGTGAACTACAACTAGTCAATGATTCTGTTTCATCTAATGATCTTTGCTTTCTTGGGTATGAATTTCGAGTTTTCTCTCCCACTTGATGGTGATGATGATGATGATAATCTTGGTAGTCTACCCATTTATTATTAGTGCATCGATTACATGCTCTACAGTAGTCGCCTTCTAAACTTGTTCGAGGTGGATCATTTTCAGATTTTAAGCTACAATCTGAGTTGTAGTGTAATTCATTTTCCTGAGTATATTTTGTATTATCTGGTAACATGCCTACATAGTTGTCTCGTGGACAATTAACATCGCGTCTGTATTCTGCGCATGGATGTGTGCATGCCGGTTGTTGGTAATGGCCGTACTGTGGATTTTGATCCTCTTCTGTATCACAACAATCATCATCTTGATCCATTATCTGTGCAACATTATAACTGTCTAGCATTGCTCTTCTTCGTTGACTAGCTAATGGTTCGTTGTACGGATCAGACACCAGATCTGTAGATGGTTTTCCAGCTCTTGGCATTTGTAGACTTTCTTTATATTTTTCAATATTTTGCGCATAACTTTCATCACTTGGTGGATCCCAGTAACTAACTGAATCAGAGTCTAACTGTGCCAGGTGTTCACGTGAAAAATGGGATTCTCTATCACGTTTTCGATATTCATCAGCTTTTTCACGTAACACTACTAATTCGCGATACCAGTTGTACGGTGGTAAGTTGTTCTCTATTGTTGATTTTGATCGATTAGGTTGAGTACTTAATAAATCTGTATAATTAAGATATTTTGCATTGTATTCACTAATATTATGGCAAATCTTTTTTGGTAGTTTTGAAGGTGGAGTCAGTGCTCGAATTCTTCGCTTATTTGCATTTTCATCATCAGTGTGCTTTATCTCTCTAAATCCATAAGCTGATACTGGACGTCTTAATGGAATAATATTCACACTTTTCTCATCTCTTATTTCAGTTGATTTTAGCTGGTCTATTGGAACATATTTAAAGGGTTTATACTCATGTCTGTATTCTGTATCGTAGGGGATTTTACGACCTTGAAATTTATCCAGTTTACATGATGCTGATGTTGGTCTAATAAACTGTGTTGAATCTAGCTGGTGGTAATTCATTTGTGGTGCTTTAAATGCACTCTGATACTCAGAGATACGATTGTTGTTTTCAATGGTGTATTTTGTAACTTTAGGAATCACTAACTTTTCGCTTTGTTGTCCATATTCTTGAAGTGGAGTTTTAATACGCTTATCTTGACGTGGAGCATCTGGAACACAAATATTAACTGAATGCTGGTTAACGCCTACTGGTTTAGAGGAGTACTTCGCATCATTCTCAGTTTTTTTTACTTGCCTCCTATTCTGTTTTATTTCCTCTTTTTCACGTAATAGTCTTTTTCTATTGTCGATCTCATTTCGTATACGTCGTATTTCTGCTTCTAAAGCTTTATGCGTTCCATCTGTTTGGATAGCTTCGTCTATTCGAGTTTTATGAACAGTTTGTGGCCTTTGTTGTTGTTGTTGTTGTATTTGCCTACAATCGTATTTGTTCGCCGGTGTCTGTGTTGACTTTTTCAACGTTGTATCAGAGTTCTCTTTTCGCTTGGGTGAAACACTACGGGCATTACGTTTCTGACTGTTTCTATAGGCAATTGGATGAGAGAATTTTCCATCAGATGGACCGATTACAAAGTAATCGTCTTCTTTTTTTGGATTTGAAAATTGTTTGTTTAAATTAAATCCGTCAGGGAATTTGAATTTTCGTTTTTTCTGAAATAAAGGCTCTTCTGTTATTGTTTTGCCCATTAATAAATAATGTAAGAGGAGTGAGGTAGTTTCAATGTGTTATTCACTGTTAGTAGTATTCACATTCGGTGATCTAAATACAAAAGAATCAATACAGAATTAGAAGATTAGTCATATAAAGTATGTGTGATCCTAGTTATTAACATTGTATAACTTAACTAACACTAAGATATGATCTTGAGATCGTGGGATAGGAGTCGACAATCTGTTGTATTCTGGTCCAGTTGTCTGAGGATGGTCAACGAGATTGGTCTTATAACCTATAGATCCTGGGTTCGATCCCTACCAAGGTCGTGGGTGCTCACTGCTGAAGACTCCTAAAGAAAATAGGAGGACACAGATGTCCAGCGCACTCCTCTGGTTCTCAGTAATAGCCAAGTTAGAGATCCAGGAGTGCGAATGCCCCAGTGACATTGACCGAAAGCTACTACGGCACCACTGTGATCGAACTGAGGTGCAAATTCCATTTGACTAAACACTAGCTAGTACATAGTAGTGTAATGTGTCTAGTCCTTTGTTTGACGCAGACTGAATCCTATCAGTCAAGTTTGTACTATGGCCACCCCATATTAGGTGGCTGGTCATCACGATGCACTGTGAGTTGTTGATATTAGATGGTTGGAGGTAATCGGCCGCAGGAATCCTTCAACCTAGGCTGATATGTATCCACATGTGTGTTTTGTTTTTGACAGTCTATTATATTTTGCTATGTGTATATGGATCGATATTTCATTATAACTGACAATATGCTTTTGTCTGTCCACTAACTAAATAAACATGTATGACCTTGTTGTCACATGACATTACAACCAATCATGTTAAGACTGGCTATTTATTGGTTCATGTGTGTTAGCCATTTTCATATATACTTTTGTATTAGACCCTTGTTCATTCTGGTTCACACACATTTTGTACATCTAAGTACCCTTCCACTCATACACTTGTGTGACATTTATTTTTCTTGTCTGGAAAATACAAGTATCATCGTAAACCTGGTGGTCTTCTGATTTCCCTCTTTCCGCGTCAGGACTATTAACTATTCGACGAGTACATAACATAATTGGCAGTACATAACATAGGCTTCGTGCTAGCTGGCACTCACTAGTCAGCAAGGCATGTCTGCAGCACTGAATGATGCGGGTTCTAATCTCCGAAGGGAAATGAGTTCCTTCAAGGGTGCAGATTGCACCAAACCTAGGCTGAAAGCTTCTTGTGGCTGATTGCCTCCAAACATCTAATATCAACAATTCACAGTGTGAATTTCATCCAGATTTTGTTTGGATAATGTACTGATAGATCATTAGGGTTGAGGCTACTATTAAAGTAAGGATTAGGGTTAGGATAGTTAATACATTTACCAGAAAAATGTAGATAATAAAACTATAGTTGTCAGTCTCCTTATTGAAACCCATACTAATTCAATCGGAAGCTTACGCAGAAAGCTGAAAAACAGAATAAGGGTGGTAAATTGATCACAAAAAGAACTCATCTTCAGTCACCATGGTAAATACATGTACAGTAATTAGTTTAACCTAGAAACGCATACTTCTGATTACAATTCAGAAATATTTTTAAGTCACGTCAGGGAATAATAAGCTTGTTTATAAAAAAAATATTTTATCATTATTCTTTGTATTTCTCATGTAAATAAACGTGATTTTTATGTCAAAGTCAGGGATTTTTCTGATTGGCAACCTCAAGGTCAATCATGCAATCTCATTCTATAGATCGCCATAGTTTGATTTTGCTTCAATAATCTCTCCAGCTGATGGCTGGTCAGCGATGAAACCTGGCAGTTGAAATTAAAGCGTGATTTACTTTCTTATGTTCCTAACTTTCGTGTAGGTGTTTTTTTTCTTAAAATTCAACAGCATTCCAAATGTGGTGAGAGCAGGCTGCTAGCCGATTGGTTGACACTAATCTACGTTAATGTCTAGGTCACTAATATGGGCTGTGAGAAAATATGAACAAGGCTGTTTCAACAACCAATCACAGCAAACTTAAATGTGGACAAATATGATTCGCAGATAGATGGCTCTACTTTCCGAGAAATATCGAAAACAACCAATCATAAGACTGTGTTTGTCTGCTTAACTTCCGAGAAACAACCAATCAGAAGACTGCCTTTTTCTGCTTGCATAAGCCTTATTAATGCACATAAAATATATATAAATACGTGTTGATTTTCGTAATAAAACGATCTGTTGCCAGCCCTTGTCTTCTGTTGTTACACAAATACTTTGGCTGAAGCAACTATTATCACAATATTATTATTCCCTTGGGTTCCGAGTGGAACATAGGTCCTCAACTACACATCTCCACTTCGTTCTATTTTCTGTCTTCCTCTTCAACTGGGCCCGCGATTCACTATAATCTCTTATCTCCTCCTCACGATCTCCTTAGTACCATCCTTACACTGACGATCTACTCCTCACTTCCCAATTGGGATTCCACCTGAGTTATGGCCAGTATTAAGCGCGATTTCATTCGACGGCCTCCTCCTCAACGCGTGCCCTATCCATCTTGATTTTCTCAAACATACTTGTTGAGCGATCGGCTCTCACCTGTTGGTTTGTTCCCAGCCAGACAGAGTTTCTTGTCGCTAATTCTTTCTGACAGGCCGGTTGGCCATCTGATTATCAGTATAGAGGTAGCGAAGACAGCTGTTGATAGAAGTCTGTAACTTATTGGAAATCCTTTTCGTAACACACTGGTCGACTTTCTGACCCGTGTATAGAAGCACTGACTGACTGACTGACTGACTTGACGTTTATGTTGAACAGAATCCGAATCTTGTTGTTTATACTGTCTAAGTGCAGTGCAGAAGATTTTCAAACTGGTTTCAGGTTGGTGAAGGCATTGCATGCCCCTAACGATTCTGACTTTGACATCTTTATGCGTGCCGTGAGGCCAGTAGTTGAAACAATGCTTCCCAAGGTAAGTGAAGGAGGTAACCTTTGTTAAATCTTTCCCGTTGATGGTGGTTAGTGCTGGTTGTTGCTGATGGTTGCTTATCTTCATCATCTCCGTCTTCTTTAGTGTTCACCTGAAGTCCTGCCTTTGCTGACGACTTCTTCAGCCAGTTTGTTGGTTTTCGCCTGCAAGTCTTCGGATTTGTGTGACACTAAACATAAATCATCCACATGCGAAATCCAGATCTTCTAGAGTTTTGGAGCAACTGGTTATCATCATAAGCTGTTGAATAGATTTTAGAATGCAGACTTGTACAGAGACTTTTATCTCCATCGAAATCTTATTAAAATGTCAACGTAAAAAACGTAAAAAAAAACCAAAAATGGATATTGTGTATATAAGCAGTCATGTTAAAGCATATGCCTAAGCTCATCAGTTTCACTGAAAACTTTTTATTGTAACGGCAGAAGATAAGAGACTTGGTAATGGATCTTTTTTTTTTTTTATAGAAATACACATCATATTCATACATTTTTAGCCATATTAAAATTCGGCTAGGCCAGAGGAGAATAAATCGTTTTGATTGGTTGGCGATTGACCGGCCTAAGGTTAAACAAGTTGTCCGATGAGATTATCTCCTGACCCCTTTAAATAATTCGTGTCGTATTCGAAAGGCAAGCCTTTCAACAAGACATTACATATATATGTATACCAGCTGATTGACGCAAATACAGTATAAAACAGTGTCCCATAAATACGATGCTATAGAACTACGTTAGACAATTGAAAACAATCATCAGGATACCCTCAACCCAGATACCGTTTTTTATTATTTGGCACTAGCCATATAATAAGTATGCGTAAATTTGATGGAAATCATGCCCTCTCTGAAATTCGGACGCATGTCACCCAGTCCTTCAGTCAAGACGTTACCACTGAGCTGTTTGGGCTTGCGACTGACCTCCTGTGGAGACTAGACATTGGGTAGTAAGTACTTAGTATCATGCGTCTAGTTCCTTGGTTGATACAGACTGAATTCTATCAGTGACACTTGTTGGAATCCCAGAAGGGTTGCAGATACACTTAACTGATAGGTGAGTGCTAACAATCACGACACGTAGGTCTGATACAAGACTTCTTGCCGGTTCCCACCAACCATCTAATAACAACAGTCAGGCCGTACCGTGATGGCTATCGTAAACTTGACTGATAGAATTCAGTCTGCAACGAACGAAGGATGAGAGGAATGACTTAACTTAGTATCTAGCGTCCAAACCAAGTAAAAGTGCATTCTTTAAAACCCCAATTTTCTGAGGTGAAAGTGAATTCCTCCCACTATACAGCAATATCCGACATTACGTCTTCATAAACCAACACGCACTGATAGCATTATTGCCATTCGAATACAAAAAACACAGCAACAACACCAGCAGTATTTTCGGATTATTAATTGTATCCAATAAGAAAGAAATTATACCTAATATATCCTATTGTAGAGTGGAATAAGCCATGAAGCCGATTAATTAATAGTTAATTACAACATATGATTGGATAACTTTGTGAAGAAAGCAGGCTAATTGATACAAAATACAGGTTATCTTGCCTAGCTGATTATTTCATTATCAAATAGGAATTACACAGTTAAGGCAGCCTTAAAACGAAATTAGATAAATCGATTGAAATTGGTGTCGATGTGAATTACACAGATAGACTATACACTAATGGATTAATTGATTAATTAATTAGTTAACTAGCTTACACCGACGATATATGTGTCTTGGTGTAAATTAGACGAAGTAAACTAGACAGAGAGTGAATCATTCACTGACGTAAAAATTATTGGGCCGACAAATATTGTAGAATAATATAGTCTGTTAATCAGTTGGAGATTAAACCTGTTCGATCCAGAATAGAAGTCAAATTATGAGAACGAGGTTTATTTTAAATGGTCATTCACCTCTTCGATAATATACGTAGCTTAATAGGGGATGTCTTTGAGAGTAGGTGAAGTATTTAGTAGGGCGTATGGAATTTTCCCCATCTGCAGATACACTTCAATGATAAATGTCAGCAGACAGGATTTTCACACTCGGCCGATTCGTTTTATCAGTTCGAGTGCTCTACAATATTATGTCACTCAATTAACCCACACTTATCTCA